CTTACTTCATGGAGACGGCAAACTACAGGAACACAGGCTACGGGAACACAGGAACTGACTGGCTCAGGCTGAAACTGCAACTGGCTAACTGCCCAACTTGTGTTCCTTATATACTGGAAAATCTACTGAGTCACGCATTCCTAGTTTCCTGGAAGACGTAAGGATTCCTTACCCAAATAAGGTCAGGAGAATTTCCCTTAACACATGGAAGTCCTTAGATAAGAGGAGTCTCCTGTAGTGAGCGCCTTTCCGAGAAATTGGTTGTGTTTCCCTGACTTCAGCAGAACTACATCTGGTTCAAATACGCAGTCTATCTTATGTAAGAACTCAGCACAACCGACTCAGCAAAACCACATTCACCAAATACATAATATTCTATCTGTTACATTAGGCATGCCTTGTCAAGCACAATAACAGCTTGGTAAGTCCTACGTACAATACAATTATGCACAAGTCTGTATTTTAACCAATTGTAAGTTGCGCTGTACGCTTCCACTGCGTGTCGAGGCGCCATCATCATTTCTAAAGTTATGCTCAACCTACATTACAACGTTAATTCGTTTTTCTCCATCAATTGTTTGACAATAGCTCAAGACTTTTAAGAATTAGATGAAGCTCAAATAATCTTTAAAGAAAAGGTAAACGCATGAAAACTCATCACCAGAGCTACATCTAGTTTTAAGCGTGGTCTGTTCTCGATCGGGGCATCTGAGGTGACGAGTCGAACAGGAACCCGATTACAGTTCATTACCTTCGCAGACAACGCGTCAGCTTTTATGACCTTTTAATAGGGGGGGGATATTAGAACTAACTTTGTCAAATGCGCATTCTAAAATATGGAGATGGTCTACCTAAGCACATAAATCACAAAATTTATGCAATTGTTGAACTCTAACCCCCCTGTACATACCCCCTGAAGTTTGGATACCCCCCACCCCATATATCACTGTCACTAGGCTGATGTTTGAGTGTAAGGATTAAGCACTAGCAGCATTCCTTTGCTCTTTTTGCACAATTTATGTAATGATATGGTCCACAACCCTTTAAGGTACCTTTCTTTTAAGTTTCAGCTCAATATTATGTGTTGCCATGGTAACAACATGGAAGCAAGTTTTGAGTCAGTTTCTCAGATTTGGCCAAGTCAGAAGCATGGAAACTGGCATGGTTAAGAAATTTATTTCAGACAAACGTACATATAACAGAAAGAAGACATAGCATCAATGCTACTGTTATATTATTATATATCAAACACATTGGTGAACATTAAATTGAACTTCCAGAACATATTTAGTCGCA